GACAAAGTGAATCTCATTGGGAAATCCTCTGTTTCACAAGTGTAGACAGGAAGGTATGATGTTCAAAAGGGCGTGGTCTCTAGAGTCACATTTATGCAAGCATTCTGACTTTCAGAAGGCTTACATGCTCGACTTCATGCTGAAAGATATGAGAACACTGATTTAGTCTCCAAGGAGGAAGTTTTAGATTTAGACCAATCAATATCCGCTTTTCCTTCTTGAGACCAGAACCATTGTAAATTCTTGGAAGAAGAGAATTGAGTTGGACTTGACACTGGGGGAAAGGTGAAGGTAAGAATAATTTAAGAAAATTCTTTCAAAACGGTTGAAATTTGGGAGAGAAAATGCTAGTACAGAATGATGAAATATAAAAAACAATTTTACATCTGCTTGTATATGCTTTGTTTTGAGTGTTAAGGCAAATAGTTAAGTGAAGCTCAAGAAATAGTTGAAATTCGTTTGGTGTATTGGAATTTACAAATGTGTCTTAAAAATATGACTCGTTAAGAAATAGGAATACTTTATTTTGGTGGTGGCTCAAAAGGAAATTTTAGTTTAAGTTTTTCCCCATGGTATTCATTTTATATTGAAGTTAGCTATTTGGTTGAGATTCCACCAAGAAAACTGTAGCATATCTTTCTCTGGGCTATTCTGAGTTCTTTCCTCCTTCTGTGAACAGGCCTGATCTGTGTTTTATGCAGCTATAACACTGAGACTTAACACCTGACACCTGATTTACATCTTGAGATTTGCCTAATATTATCTGTAAGTGCTAGAGTTTAAAAATATTTCCCTTTGGGTGGTGACTGTGTGTGTGTGTGTGTGTGTGTGTGTGTGTGTGTGTGTTGGGGGATGGTCAGAAAAAAGGGGTCAATAAGAGCATTAGTAGTCATATCTCATCTCTCGCTCAGAGGATGATGTTTGGTGTCATTAGGAGCAGAGGGGTTTTTTTGGATGGTTGGGGGGGAATATGATTTTTTAGGATGAACTGCAACTGGAAGCCAGTGATGAATCTTGCACTTTTTGGGCCTGGGTAAACCACTTTCACTTTGTGATATTATAAAGTAGTGACATCAGGCAGGGAGGGTATTGAGGAAGGACCTTTTTGTTTCCTATCCTGGATATTTTCCCTGGGGTTTCTGCTGACTGTCCAGTAAGTATGTGCTGCTTTGTGGGTGAGAAAAGCCTTGTGTTTACTTTCCAAGGGGAATGTGTCTGCTCATGGGATTAAGATCTATTCAAACTCTGGAGTACTTTGCTTTTATAAGCAATAAGCTGTATCTGCAGGCAATGGTAAAGCAGGGGACAAAAAATAGATTTCTGGATTATGGTGCTCTAGGAGATGACAGTGAAGTGATATTTGAGGATTTGGGCAATTGTTTGTCTCTCCACAGTGGAAGTGGAGTAAAATGAGTGCCATTTTCATTGCCAGGAGCAAATGAGTTTGTTGCGTTCCTTAGCTGGCAAATATAGCAAGACTGCTTTGACTTAGTTTGGTTTGGGCCTTTTAAACAATGAATATTTGAAACCATCAGATTGTTTTAGATTAAGAGCCTTGAGATACAGAAGTTCTATAACTGAAGTAGGAACAAGGACTCGTTTTTTTCCCCCACTTTGATCACCTCCTATCCTTCTTCAAAAACCTTCAACTACTCCCCCTGGCTTCCCTATCACATCCCAATGGCTGAGCTGAGATATACTGGTCTACTCAGCCCTTGGGGCAGCAGGAACATGTCAGCTGGTCATGGAGGTGGGTCAGGAAGATTATTTGGCCCATAGCTACACATTTTAGAAGGGCCCCAAATTTAAATTTTCATGGTATCTTCAACATAAGCGATAGATTTTTGCATGCGTTGAATGTATTTATTAGGTAAATCTAAACACTTAAAAACAACCACAGTTTTTGTAATTCTGTAATTTTGTAATTAAGTTTTTGTAATTTTGTAATTTTGTTTTGGCATTTTCCTCCTTTTTTTAATATACCAGGAGCTTCAAAAAAACAGAGGCCTCTGACCTCTGAGATCCCCCAGGTGCCTGCTCCATAGGCTCTCACAATACAGTCATGGACATAGAAGCTAATGAAGAGGACAGACCTTTGATAACTAACCACACACAGAGTTCATTAAAGTGAGAACTGGGTACCTTGAGAAGATATAAGAGGGCCTCTCTCCTGTCTGGGCCATCAGGGAGGATTCCCCAAGCAGACAAAACTGAAAGGGCTAGGGGAAGTCAGCCAAATTTGGGGCAGGCGAAGATGGAGACAATAGGTCTCAATAATTAATTTTCAGGGACATAGGTGGACTCTAGGGTGATTTTCATATTTTGAATTTGGGTAAGTGGGTGAATGGTAGTGTTGTTAATAGGTAACTGGGGGAAAAATTATTGTCTGGCAGTGGGTGGGTAGATACCATGATTAGTTCAATGTGGGGGTATGTTGAGTATGCGTGGGCTTTGAGACATCACAGTGGAGGTATTTTATAAATATATGATCCTGTGTTATAAAAAGGGCTTAGTTACTCTTATTAATTTAGAATGTCATAGTGTATCAGGAACTATCCAGGTCCAATGGATAGATTGATAGTCCTTCTTTTCAAGAAGCTTATTTTCTAATTGCAGTCAAGGAATTAAATACCCACAGAAGATTCCAGTGATCCTGTAAGACAAGCAGGAGAAATGTTATGATGGCCAAGAGAATTATGTAGATGTTTCTTGCTTTTCAGCAGTTAGTATCCACGTAAAATTTCTCATCTGGGTTTACTTTTGTTTTACTTTGGTAGTTTGAGGTGGGCTGAGGATAATGTGAGTTTGTTTAATAGTACTGTGGGTTAGTTGCTGTGGAGTAACTTATTTTAATTTTGCGATGTAGGTACTTTTATTTGTCTCATTTTACAGAAGAGAAACCTGAGGCACTTACAGATTTATTAACTTGCCCTAAGTCATGTAGCTAGTAAATGATAAAGTTGGGATTCATATTTAGTCAGTCTGAATCCAAAGCCCCTTTCTTTTCAGTTTTTAAAAACCTTATGTTTTCACTAAATATATCGCCTATCATTTAAGTTATTTGAACCTTATTTTTTAGTGGCTATAAAATTTACTTAATCATTATTCTAATTTTTGACATATATATGGTGTTTAATTTGGTGCCTATATTTATAGTTATATCTTTAGGATAAATTCCTGGAAGTGGGTTTCCTATACCAAGGAATGCAAAACCTTTAAGCCTCCTTAAAACATATCATTTTTTCCCCCAGAGAAGTTCAAATAATTTACAGCCTGGATATATTTTTTCAATCCCATATAGAAGTATTTTTCAATCCCATAGGGTTACCTAAGCCAAGACAAACAGGGGAACTCCGTAACACTATGAGGCAGATGGTGGTTAGGATAATAATGAGTCACAGAATGTTAGTGCAGGAAGGAACTCCAGGTATTATCTAGGCCACCTCCTTTTATTAATTAAGAACTAAGGCTCAAAGAGATTAAGTGACATGCCCCAAACCATTCCACTAATTAAAGTCAGAGTTAGGACAAGAACCTGCTCTTGGCACTATGTGATATGTTGAGTCAGAGACTCTTAGATGGTTTGATTGATTCGGGGGTGTGCTGAAATGTCCATCTGGGGTCTCGACTAGATATGTAAGAAAGTTTTACCATCTAAGTCAGCTTCGCAGTTCCCCCTTGCTAGTTGTGTCAGAGGGATGTGTAAGTAAGCCAAAGGGGTCTGCCCTGAACGGAGAGGCCCAGTACCCACCCAAGGGGATAAAGACCTCCATGGGGCTAGGGAAACACTGAAATCCCCATTAGGGGTAAAACCCACAAGGATGATTGTAAACTTTCTCTTCATTATTCCATTGATGGTACAATACATTTCAACAAGGGGCTGCTCACATCATTCAAAACTCATGTAACTCAAGACTGGTTTTCTATAGCACTGACCAAAAATGGAGGACACGTCTTGTCTAACCACTTATGCTGTACACCTGAAACCAATATAAAATAAGATTGGATGTCAACTGTGATTGAAAAATAAAAAAGGAAAGACCTTTCTATTTATTATTGCGCCAATATGTAGCAATCATAAACAGAATTTACAGTTGAATTGGCTTGGTATCTATCTGGGTTACCAGCTGGGTTAAGCTGTTAAGCCTCAATGTTTGAATGACTTAGTACAATTAAGGGTTATTTCTTGCAAAATCTGAAGCAGGCTGGTTGGCCGTCCTCTATGTTACAAGACGTGCCATGTCAAGGTTGCCACAGCAGGGGAAGAGAGAGTTAAAGAAGTCATGTATGCTCTTAACGGACTCAGCTTGAAAGCAATGAATGCCACAGTCTATTGGCCAGAAATAGAAACACGGTTCTGATTGAACTGGTAGACAGACTGGGAAAAGTGCGTGAAGGAACACACAGATATTTGATGAGAGCTAATGGTCTCTTCCACTTGAATCTTGATACTGTGAAATTACCTACTTAAAAAAATGTGTAGGCAATTTTATACCATCTCAAGTTTTAAACATAAAAGTAAAACTTTCATATTACTTTCCTTCAAATATGCTGAAAGTTTAACTGTATGGTAGAGTATATACTATCATTTTAAGAAATCCTTTTGGGATCCCTGTTAAAAACAATGACACTTTCGTTTAATAGTTATGACACTTAGGTAAGTCATTTGACTTCTCTAAACCTGTATCCCAATTGAAAATGGGATTTAATTCCTCATTTATGGGTATGTTGTAAAAATTAGGTTAGAGATCTCATGTAAAACACTTGACACAGCACCTAGAATAAAGTAAGTGTTCAAAGAATGTGATTTTTTCTTTGTATTGGTATTATTGATGCTATAGTAAAACTACTATCATTGACAGTAATATCATTTTATCATTTCCTCTGAATCAGTGCTGTATCGATAATTATCAGAAGATAGTGTACTTTATGGGAACAAGCAATATTTGTCTAAGTTCTGGAAATGAAATATCTTCATCCTCTATATGTTTTTATCTTAGTAGTGATGGGGAGCTTCAAAGGCCATGCCCTCCCTGGGACCTTCTTTTTTATCATGGGTACTTGGTGGGCTATAAAGAGCATTCTGAAGTATACCTGCCGAAAACAGAAACGGACTTCCTACCTGGTTTCCAAAGCCCTATTTTATCGAATTGAACTTTTGGAGGGAATCACAATAATCTGCATGGCCATAACTGGTGAGTGGACTATTTCTGAATTCTGTTTTCTCCTTTTGTATATTTTCACATGCAAAGAGAGGGTTTAATATCAAGTCAAGAAATTGCTAAAATGAATTTTTTGTTTAGAAATATCTGTAAACATATATTCTGGTTGTAATTGTTACCTGATATAATTGTTAAAAGGGGATACTTTAGGTTTATACAAAGGCCTGTTCCTTAGTGAGTTAGTCATTAATAATTAACTTGTCTACCCACACAAGGTGAATTTCCTTTATAGAATTAGCTGGAGCCTCTGAAATGATTTTATATCAATTATTCTGATGCCTGAAAGACTAAAGTCTATCAGAAACCATTTTTCAAAACAACACCAAAAATAATCAAGCAATTATGGGAAAGCTTCAATTGTAAATCACTGCTAGTAGGCTATACAGAAGCAGACTTACATTCATCCTTTTTGTGTGATTTCTAAATTGCAGAGGGAGTTTAGGTCAGATGACTCCTAAGGCCTTTCCATTGACTATAAGAGTCTGTGAAATTGTCCTGTGTGTTTAGAGTTTCACTTAAGTCTGTCCTTTATAATGAGCAAAACTTCCTACTTTTCCTTTGGATTTTTTCATACTTAATTCATGGTAATAAGTCTTTGCTATCTATGAACATCAGATTATACAGCAACTATTTCCAAAGAGAGAAATTTCCTTGCCAACTCCTATAGATGAACAAATAAAGCAGCGTCTTTAAGATTGTTTGTTGATGTAGCTGACCAGATCATATGCTATAACTGTCTGTACTTTCTCAGTTATCCTTAATTGGGGGAAAGCTGAACTCCAGCATTTATCTCCTGAACCAAGCGCAACCCCCTACTTTGTGGCAGCTACCCAGAGATACAGTCTGTAAGATGAAGTCATCAGCCTCTACAGGACTGATCTTATGAATCCCAAACCGAAATCATTCAAGAGTTATTTAGTGACTAAATTAAAATGTGAACTAAGATCGTTAGTGGAACTAAGTGGAACTAAGATCATCAACTTTAAAGATCTGAAATAGTTGTTTGATTAAATTGGTTATCTTTGACTAAAAGTGATTATCCAAACCAGTTTTCAAACCTCTAAGGCCAGCCTGAAGCACCTGCATTTAGCTGTTAGGGAATAGCTCAGAAAGAGGGATGTTATCGAATGTCACTAGATCAGACTAAAGCAGTGGGCTAATCCTACTGCATCTTCTTGTTTTCTTGGTAAAGTTATGGAGAGGTTTGCTAAAACTTAAATATGTTCTTCTACAGGTATACTTGGGGAACAGTTTATTGTTGGAGGGCCTCACCTGTCCTTATATAACTATAAAGAGGGCCAATGGGTCCAACTCCTGGGCTGGCATCACTGCACCATGTATTTCTTCTTTGGGCTGATGGGTGTGACAAACATCTTATGTTCCACCATCAGTTCACTTCCTGCTTCTTTAACCAAGTTAATGATGTCAAACGCTTTATTTGTGGAGGGTAAGTATGAGTGAGTATTTTCCTGTACGTTTCACTGTTATAAGGCATTTGTCTAGCCCTTTAGAATAATATTCCTTTAATGTCCTGGTTCAGCCTTGATCCATAAGTTTACCTATTTGGGTCACAGTGAACTATTCAGTGTCTTAAGCAGGATGCTAAAGATTTTCCTTCCCTACTGATTCATTTAGTAAAACTGGACAAGAACAATCGCTCAAAGTTTTTTATTCACATTTTATATCTGTCTTAAAGAACTAGCTACCTGGTGGTTTACCTCTGGGTTATCCTGAGATTTTAATTATTTCTGTTTTTAACAAGTGAAACTGAGCTCAAAGTAGTGAATCATAAATATACTGAAATCTAGAGACACAGTAGAGTATCTTCCACCACCTACTTACTAACTAACTAACCTTTTTCATATTGCTACAGTAAAACTCCACCATTACATGATAAGTAGGGTCCAAAAAATTCAGTCACTTAGAAATATGAGGTCCTGTTTTTGAGGGATTAATGAAAACAACATTTTTTTTTTTTTGCTCAAGTTGGTCTCCCTGTTACTGTATGGGGAAACACTGAAAACAAGTGTTGAATGATTTGCTTTCATTTATTGCACTTGTAAGGAATAGATTGATTATAGAACTAAAAAATCTCCAAATTATCAGGAGGCAGTCATTTCCTAACTGTCCACCTTGCCTCCCATGTGTGAAGATAAGAGCTTCTGCCGACCCCTCTTTGAGAAGAAGGGCTAGGTAAAGATGGGCACGAACAACCACAGTATGAGTCTCATGATCTCAGGGTGTTATGATATTTTGAATGAACATCTTTTAATTGTCATCTAAATGAAAAAGGTGAAGCTGAAGCTGGAATCCGTGCATGAGATTAAAAAATGTAGTTAGTTACGACTTCGTGGGACCTTCCAGAGTATCTTGTCCTGCCCCTCTAATTCCACTCATAGGATTGTCTGTCTTCCTCCAATGGGCTGAATTCCTTAAGATGAGGCTTTGTCTCACTCATCTGTGCACTCAACCTAACTCCTGCTCCTCACCCCATCATGCTTAGTATTCATCTCCTTCCTAAGCTGCTTTGAAATATAGTTGCAAATGTCATGATGTGTTAGAGAAGAGGATAAAGGCTGGGGAAGGGAAAGGAGTGTTAGGTTTCAAAGATTCCATTCCAAAGAGGTAGCATGACTCCAAAAAGTGTCGTTCTTGTGGGAAGCAGTGGGTACCAGATATTTTGTAAAATTCTGTGGAGAAAGAGGGAGGGAGGGAGAGGGGGGAAGGAGAGAGAGAGGAAGAGTGTATGATTTGTGCACTTTTACATATATATAATATAAGAGAGAGAGAGAGAGAGAGAGAGAGAGAGAGAGAGAGAGAGAGAGAGAGTGGTTTCATTGAAAAACACGAACTGTTTTCTCCCCCTCTGTCAGCTTTTGTTTTCTACAACCACACTCACGGCCGGGAAATGCTGGACGTCTTTGTGCACCAGCTGCTGGTCTTGGTCATCTTGCTGACAGGCTTCGTCGCCTTCCTGGAGCTCTTCACACGTGGCAACGTAACTGTGGAGCTTCTGCGATCAAGCTTTATCCTGCTTCAGGGGAACTGGTTCTGGCAGGTGAGTGGGCACCTCCAGTTAGTGCACCTACTGTCTCTCTACCTGTAACCTTCTCTCTTTGTTTGGTGGGCCATTTTGCTCTACAGCCCAGAGACTTACTTCTGATGTGCTGCCTGTAGTGAGAATGTGGGGCCGTGAGAGGTGATGCTTCCTTGAACGGCCCAGCGGCTCTGGGACGATTGTTGACAGGGCAGCAGGAAAGGAAGTGGGGTGTGTACAACTTCATCACACATCTGAATACCCACTGTGTAGGAACTCTGAGCTGGTGCTTTCAGTTGGAAGCAGTTGGAAGATGCTAAAGCAACTTACAGCCTAATGGGTAGTAAGCTCAAGAAATATATGAAAGGCAGGAAATGGAGGAAACTATTATTTATTAAGAAACAACTATGTGCCAGCCACTGTACTTTTACACACACATTGTTTCATTCTGTCCTCACAATGGCTTGGAAGTTCGGTATTAACATTCCTAGTATATACTGATAAGGAAGACTGTGAGAGACCACGTTAATTTCCCAGGGTCACACAATAATGAAACTAGAATCTAAATGTGGGTTGTCTGCCCCAAAATCCCAGGTTCTTTCCATTTTACTCCATAACCTTGATGTGTTGTTGAAAAACTGTATACATCAATCAGTGAACATATATTTTATAGAGAATGAGAAATCATAATCCAATATCCATATATAAATGTAAAGAAAGTCTAGGATGAAAGGTGGATGTTATTTAATCAGGAAAGACTTATTAGAGGACTTTTTCAATCACCACAAAGCAGAGATTTGGGATGATGAGGTTATTTCAGGGATTTGCATTGTACACGAGGAGTGATAAGAAAGCCGTGGCAGACAAGGGCGGGGAAACATCATGGTGAACACAGGGGATAGGCAATATGTGATAGTTAAGCATGTGGAGGAGTAAAAGGCTGTTGGAGCAGAGTCTAGTAAAAAGGGCTAGATTTAAGGGTTATTTTAAAGGAAAAATGATATAGAAAAAACAACAAATGTCCTATAATATGATAACATTGATAATTGGTGAAATTAACCAGCTTATATATAGAAGTTGTGTTGTTAGATTATTTATTATCTCCTGGAAACCTAAGTAGAATGGAATGCAAAACACTATTATGGATTCTATATCTCCTGTTTGAAATGTTTACCATGTCCATGTATTACCTATTCAAAAATAAAAATAAATTAAAAAAAATTTTAAAGGTAACTCCTGGTCAAGATGACACAGTGAGTTCATGCTTCGGTGTATCTCCTCTGCTCCAAACACATAACAATGGCAAATAAAATTTCAAAATACCTATTTTAAAAAAAAACATTAAAAGAAGGAAATAAATAAATAAATAAATAGTAATGTAAAAAATACTTGGCTGCAATAAACACGACAAACAGAAGCAGGGCAAACGCCTTGGTGAGCTAGACAGCACAGAACTGCACAGCAGGAGCAGAGCTGAGCCGCAGGCCTGCGGGCTCCAGGTCTAGCGCAGACAGTGATGGTCAGTTGTTCGGTTCCAGTGGAACTAAAAGCATTCTTCTTAAGGTTGGGGATGAAGCCAAGCTTTTGGAACCTTTTGTGTTATTTATATATTTTATATTCTTAATTGACTTCATCCCATTGATACCTTGCTTTCTGACAGAAGTCTGTTAAATTTTTATATTATAGTTATGGATTTGTCAATTTCTTTTTATTTTAAGTTTTTGCTTTAATGTTAGGAGGCTGTATTCTGCTTCTCTTTTTCTAGTTTTTTGAACTGAATGTTCATTTATTTTCAGTCTTTTTTGTTTTTAAATAAATACATTTTAGGCTATAGATTCCCCTCTATGTACTGCTATAGCTGTCTCCTATAAGATTTGATGTGTGGTAGTTCTCATTTTTGGGCAGTTTTGAATGTTGTGTTTTCCATGTGCTTTCTTCTTTAATTCATGAGTTATTTAGGAGTGTGCTTTTAAGTTTCCAAAAAATATTCTTTTTCTTATTATTCATTTCCATTTTAATTGTTTTGTAGTCAGAGAATGGAAATGTGTTGAGACTTCCTTTGGGACATAGTCCAGTGTCAGTGGTAGCAAATGTTTCATGTATTTGAAAAGAAAGTATATTCTTTATTTGTTGGGTTCAGGATTCTACATATATTTATTATATCAAGTTTATTAAAGAGCTAAATATTCAAATAAAGAACTTAGAAAGTTAAGAACAAAAGGGGAAACTCAAAAAGAGTTGAAGAAAAAAATAAAGAACAGAATTAAGGAAACTAATTAGTGTTCCATTTGTAATTAATAATTAAGGATCTGAGGGAGGAAACTGTGGGCTGTTATAACGGAAAGTCCATTGGCTTAATGTTACCCCCTTTGGAAGAGAAATAATGTTTTCATATTTCCCCAAAAGGTTTTCTGAGGAAGAACTATAAGGTTGAAGTCTTTGGGCATAAATCCGTGATTACAAAAAAACTTTTCCATCTATCAGTATGTCTAGACTAGTTTCTTTTTTTACCTGGTAGCTAGACTAAATAACATCTTAAGTCTTAAAGAAAAATAGACATTTAACACCAATGAAAACACACACAATGGCAGGAAATGAAGGTTTACCACAGTACCTCTCCCCATCATTAGATTCCTCTGAAACTGAAAAAATGTCTGGAGACTTAGGTGAATTTATTATGCTTCCATGTTTTGTTGCAATGTGTGATGTATGGATGTTTATGGCCAAAATTCTGTCTTAAGCTAATAATATTATGCAGTGATTTGCTTTTCACTGTATTTTTGCTCTCGCTACTTCTCCACATATGCTTAAACTAGTGCATAAAAATGTATAAACAAATTAGAGAAAACACACACTTGGACTCTTGGAGCCATAAGTATGAAGATGTGAATTGAATGAGGCAAGTGCTCAGATTGGCCACTTTTTTATAACTCATATATCAACGATCAGATAATAGGCAAACCTAGAGGGGATTTCCCTCCCAATCTATAAAAATGCTATCTTTTCTGAACCACGTTACAGCCATATATGTTTTCTCAAAAACTGAATCACTTCATGCAATTTAAAAAAGAAAAAAAAATTCCTTCAGACCCATTCATTCCATGAGTCATGTTTTCCATGAGTCTCTGTGTGGGAGACTATTTCTAAAGCTCACTTTTGTGCTTTACATTTATAAGCTCCCTTCCATCACTGTCAGAGCTGTGGCATAAAGAGCCAGAGAATGAGAAAGATGTGCCTGCTGCCTATGCTTCTTATTACTTTGGACAGGTGCTTCTGCTGCTAGGTTCCTCGGGCTGCAATAACCAAGTCCCATAAACTGGATGACTTAAAACCATGAAAATTTATTCTTTCACTGTTCTGGAAGCCATAAGTCCAAAAATCAAAGTGTCAGCGGGTTGTTTACTTCTCGGGGGCCCAGGCGGAGAATCTGTCCCATGCTGCTCTCCTAGCTGGTTGTCAGCAATCGTTGGTGTTCCTCGGCTTGTTGCAGTATAATTTCAGTCTCTGCCTCCAGAGTCACACCTCTGTTTCTGTGTACCTGTGTCTTCACATGGCCTTCTTATAAGAACATCAATCATTGGTTTTAGGGCCAATTCTTACCCAGTATGGCTTCATCTTAACTTGATGACATCTGCAAAGACCCTATTTCCAAATCAGGTCACATTCACAGGTACTGGGGCTTAGGACTTCAACATAGCTTTTTGGAGAACACAATTTAACTCACAACTCTAACCTTTACCTCTGAGAGGTAGAGCAAATCATTCCCCAAAATGGGGTGGATGGGCTGTATATCTGGATGGCATTGGGGGAACATTGGTGGAACTGATAGGTGGGAATTGGGAAGTGAGTTCATAGCTCATTACACCCACCGTTCCTAACAGGCCCTTTCTTGACACAGAATTTCTCTGTCACCTTCCATGAGTTGCTGTGAGAAGAGAACACGAGAAGCAGATTCTCATGGTCCTGACACCCAGCTTAAACGGCTGGGCCTCAGGAATTGAGAGTTGACTACATGACTTTAGTTTTCTTCTTGTTATTTCTGAATAGTGAGCAGAGAAGATCTAGAATTTCTTGCTTTCTTCCACGGCCTTCTGAGACCTGGGCTCTGGTCATTCTGGTCCCCAAATTGAGCTTTCCCATTAGTGTAGAAAAAAAGCATTGCAAAACACTGATATGTGTAAGCAGCAGGCGAACCAGCTGGGTGGCATTCTCTGCCTGCAGTGTCTAAATGTTGTAGGCTCATATCTCTAATGTGATGTCTGATGTGTCTTATGCTGGTGGCGTTAATGCCTCATCCCTGTAGAATGTTGCCATGTCCTCATGCAGAGGCCTCACCCTTGGTGGGTGGGGCACAGCAACAAAGATGCCAATGTCTTTGCAACTGTTTGGGGATGGAGAGGCAGGTCACACATTACTTAGTTTTCTTAATTTTAACATAGAGACAAGTGTATTTTGTCTCCTAGGTTGTAGAGGGCAGCAAGAAGTTATAGAGTACCTTGCTAGTTTCAACTAATGTAATATTTTGGGGAAAAAATCATGTGTATAACACTGGTTGATAAATAAAATGCATAGCACCAGCACAAAACCAAAAAACCTCTGCCTGTCTTGCTTCACTTGGTCAGGCAAGTAACCTGAAAGATGAATCAATGGAGAGTCCATTTGTCCATCCGTCCATCCATCCATCCATCCATCCATCCATCCATTGATCTTATTTTTTATTGGTTTAAAATTCACATAGAATTAACCATTTTAAAGAGTGCAATTTAGTGCCATTTAGTACATTCACAGTGTCGTGCACTATCACCTCTATTTAGTTCTAAAACATTTTCATTACCCTGAAAGGAAACCCTGGCCCCATTAAGCAGCCAATCCCTTTTCCCTTCTCCTCCCAGCCTCTGGTAACCCCTTATCTGCTGTCTGTTTCTCTGGATTTATCTATTCTGGACACTTCATGTAAACTGACTCATAAGTATGTGACCTTTTATGTCTTGCTTTTCCCCCTTATCATAATGTTTTCAAGATTCATCCATGTTGTATCATGTATTAGTCCAATTTATCTATTTTTTCTTTGATCAATTGTACTTCTGATGTTATAGCTAAGAAATCATTACCAAATCCCAGGTCATGAAGCTTTGCTCCTCTATTTTATTTTAAGAGTTTTATGGCTTTAGCTCCCATATTTAGGGCTTTGATCCATTTTGAGTTAATTTTTGTATGTGGGGTAGGTAAGTGTTTAAATTGATTCTTTTACATGAGCATATTCATTTCTTCCAGGACCATTTGGTGACCATTTCCCCATTGAATGGCCTTGCCACTCTTGTCAAAACCAATTTACTACAGATATATAGGCTTGTTTATGGACTGACAATTCTATTTCATTAATTTATATAATTATGTCAATACCGCATTGTTTTGATTATTGTAGTATTGTAGTAAATTTTGAAATCAGTAAGTTGTAAGCCTTACAACTTTGTTTTTCTTTTTCAAGGCTGTTTTGGCTATTCTGAATCTCTTGTAATTCCATATGAATTTAGGATCAGCTTTCCATTGCTGCAAAAAGGCAGTGGAAATTCAGATTTTGACAGGGATTGCAGTGAATCTGTACATTGCTTTGGGTGTTACTGCTATCTTAACAATATTAAATCTTCCAGTCCATGAACATGAGATGTATTTCCATTTATTTAGATCTTCTTTCCACAGTGTTTTTGCATTTTTTCAGTGTACAAGTTTTGTACCTCCTTCGTTAAATTCATTACTAAATATTTTGTGCTTTGCAATGCAATTGTAAGTGTAATTGTTTTCTTAATTTTGGGATGGTTTATTACATGTGTATGAAAATACAACTGTTTTTATGTATTGATCTTGTATCCTCTAAGTATGCTGAATTCATTTATTAGCTCTAATAGTTTTTGTGGATTCTTTAGGATTTTTCTATATAAGATCATGTTATCTGTGAATATAGTTTTACTTCTTTCTTTGTAGTCTAGATGCCCTTTAATTATTTTCTTGCCTAATTGTTCTGACTATAATTTCTAGTACAATGTTGAAAAGAAGTGGTGAAATTGGACACCCTTGTCATCTGATCTTAGGGAAAAAGCTTTTAGTCTTTCACTATTGAATATAATGTTAGCTGTGGGCATTTATTTATTTTAAAACTTTTTGTACTCTAATATTGAAGTAACTAAGTGAAACTTAACAACTTAGAAACCTAGCACATTCTCTGAAAGTCCACCAATCCCTGGAGATGATTATTATTCATAATTTGAAATTGATTTTTAAATGTCCTTAACATTTTTCCCCAAAAAATATGTCCTACTAGATACCGTCTGTATTACTAGAACAGGCGGTAAAATCTGATGTCATATCTGTAGCATTTCAGATAATGGGAGTTATCTAATTAGTTCCACTAATCTTGGAACCAAGCATTTTGAAATGCACCATCTCTTGGGAAGTGGCTGGTTATTTTAATATGTGCTTTTTGTTTTATATTACAGATTGGTTTTGTCCTTTATCCCCCCAGTGGAGGTCCTGCATGGGATGCAATGGATCATGACAACATTATGTTTCTCACCATATGCTTTTGTTGGCATTACGCATTGACCTTTGTCATCATTGGAATGATTTATGCCTTTGTTACCTGGTAAGTTAGTGATTTTTGTTTATGGAAGTTCTGTTCCTTACTATATGATCAACGTGACTTGATAGTATTGAACTTAAAATTCAAAGGGCGATTTCATTCCTTAGTATTCCATAAGACAGCATAACAGCAGAAAATTATCAGCACATAGAAATTCCCAATAAATGCTGGTTTAAAGTTAGAATAGCTCAGCAGTGTCTCTGCTATGACTCTGACCTATATGCATCACCTTTCAACACACTCTTCTGTGCCTCCATGCCTTTGCATATGCTGCTTCCTTTTCTTTCTTTCTTTCTTTCTTTCTTTCTTTCTTTCTTTCTTTCTTTCTTTCTTTCTTTCTTTCTTTTAAAAATTTTATTAGGGAATTGGGGAAGGGTAACAGTGTTGGGGAATTGGGGAAGGGGAACAGCCAAGTTGTTGTCCTTCAATCTTAGTTGTGGAGGGCACAGCTAGCTCAGCTCCAAGTCCAGTCGCTATCTGACTGACAGGCGGCAGCTCACAGCTGCTCAGCTCAAGGTGTCATGTTCAATCTTAGTTGCAGGTGGGCGTAGTCCACCATCCCATGCGGAAGTCTAATCGGCAACCTTGTTAGGAGCACGTGCTCTCACCAGCTGAGCCATCCTGCCACCTGTTGGCAGCACAGCAGCAGCTCAGCTCAGGCACACCTCACTAGCCCATGTGGGAATAGAACCGGTTACCTTGTTTGCTCAGAGCTTGTGCTCCTAACCAACTGAGCCACTTGGCTGGCCCTCCTTTTCTTTTCTTTTTTAAATTAAAGTTTATTGGGGTGACAATTGTTAGTAAAGTTACATAGGTGTACAATTTTGTAATATGTCGTCTATATATCACATTATGTGTTCACCACCCAGAGTCAGGTCTCCTTCTATCACCATATATATTTACCCTCATCTACCACCTCCCTCCTCCCTTACCCTCTGGTAGCCACTAAACTATTGTCTGTGTATATGAGTTTTTTTTCTTCATTTGTTTGTCTTGTTCCTTTGTTGTTTTCAGTTTTATATACCACTTGGAATCATATGGTTCTCAACTTTTTCTGTCTGACTTATTTCGCTTGCTGCTTCCGTTTCTGAATGGTTTTCCCCACACCTGTAGTGAGTGAGCCCTCCATTTGCGCATGTGCACATCAATTATAGCATTCCCAAGCTTGGTGTCATTTTATGACCAACATGTATGTCTCCTATTAAATTTAGGTACCTGGTAATTTTGACCTTTACTCTAAATATTTCTAAAAGTAAGCTTTTGTTAAATAATGCATGTTTTTCAAGGACCCAGATACATTACATGATGAGTGAGAAGCAATATAGCGATTGATAAGAACACCTATTCCTAGCTCTGCTGTTATCAGTTGTATGACTGGGAAAATTATTTAACCACAGTGAGTCTCAGTTTTGTTGTTTGCAAAGTGGGAATAATAATAGTACCTAAGAACAATGATGTATTTAAATTGCTTAGGCCATAATAAGAGCTCAGTGAAAGTGATCCTTCTTGTTATTTTTTAAATTAAATTTATTGGGTTGACATTGGTTAGCAAAATTATATAGGTTTCAAGTGTATATACTTGAGTACTCTATAATACATCATCTATATATTTCACCCCCTTTTCCTCTTCTACCTCCTCCTCCCTTACCCTCTGGTAGCCACTAAACTGTTGTCTATGTCTATGAATTTTTGTTTCTTTTCTTGTTCCTTTGTTGCTTCCAGTTTTGTATCCCATGTGAGTGAAGTCATATGGTTTTTTACTTTTTCTGTCTGACGTGTTTCGCTTAGCATGATAATCTCAAGATCCATCCATGTTGTCGTGAATGGCAGTATTTATCTTTCCTTATGGCTGGGTAGTATTCCGTTGTATATATGTACCACAACTTCTTTATCCAATCATCTATCAAAGGACACTTTGGCTGTTTCCATGTCTTGACCACCATGAATAATGCTACAATGAGCATCGGGGTACATATGTCTTTATAGATAAATGTTTTCAGATTTTTTGGATAGACACCCAGAAGAGTGATTGCTGGATTATATATGGTAATTCTATTCTTAATTTTTTGAGGAACCTCCATACTGTTTTTCATAGTGCCTGTAGCAATTTACATTTCCACCCACAGTGTATAAGGGTTCCTTTTTCTCCACAGCCTCTTCAACACTTGTTATCATTTGTCTTGATGATTGCCATTCTAACAGGTGTGAAGTGATTGCTCATTGTTTTGGTTTGCATTTCCCTAAGAGCTAGTGAAGTTGAGCATTTTTTCATATATCTGTTGGCTGTTTGTATGTCTTCTTGGGAGAAGTGCCTGTTCAGGTCTTCTGCCCATTTTTTAATTGGATTGTTTGTTTTTTGTTGTTATTGAGCTGTATGAGTTCTTTATATATTTTGAATAGTAGCCTCTTATCAGAGGCGTCATTTGCAAATATCTTCTCCCATTCAGTTGGTTGCCTCTTTGTTTTGTTGATAGTTTCTTTTGCTGTGCAGAAGCTTTTTAGTTTGGTATAGACCCATTCATTTATTTTTGCTTTCCCTTCCCTGGCCTTTGAGGTCAAATGCATAAAATTCTCTCTGAGCCCAAGGTCCATAAGTATAGTAGCTATGCTTCCTTGTATGAGATTTATCATTTCAGGTCTTATGTTTAGTTCTTTGATTCATTTTGAGTTAACTTTGGTATATGGTGACTGCAGTCTAGTTTCATTTTTTGCACATGGATTTCCAATTTTCCCATCAGCATTTATTGAAGAGGCTTTCTTTTCTCCATTGTATGTTTTTGGCTCCTTTGTTGAAAATTATCTGCCCATATATATGTGGGTTTATTTCTGGGTTTTCAGTTCTTTTCCATTGGTCTGTGTGTCTGTTTTTCTGCCAATACTATGCTGTTTTGATTATTGTCACTTTGTAATACAAATTAAAGTCAGGGAGTGTGATACCTCCAGACTTGTTCTTTTTTCTTAGAATTGCTTTGATTTTTGGAGTCTTTTGTGATTCCATACAAATCTGATTTTTTGTTCTATTTCTTGAAAAAAATGCAATTGGGGTTTTGATGGGAATTGCAAGAAATGGGTGTATTGCTTTGTTGGGTAATATAGCCATTTTAACTATGTTCATTCTTCCAACCCATGAACATGAAATATCTTTCCATTTCTTTGTGTCTTCTTCAGTTTTTTAAAATAATATCTTATAGTTTTCAGTCTATAGGTTCTTCACATCTTTTATTAGGTTTATTCCTAAGCATTTTATTCTTTTAGCAGCAATCGCAAAAGGAATTGTTTTTTTTCATTTCTTTTTCTGAAATTTCATTGTTAGTATGCAGAAATGCAATGGATTTTTGTACATTGATTTTGTATCCCGCAACGTTATTGAATTTTTATTGTTTCTAATGGTTTTTTGTGGAGTCTTTAGGGTTTTCTACATAAAGAATCACGTCATCTGCAAAAAGTGACAATTTAACTTCTTCATTCCCAATTTGGATGCCTTTTGTTTCTTTCTCTTGCCTGATTACTCTGGTTAGGACTTCCAAACCTATGTTGAATAACAGTGAAGTGGGCACTCCTGTCTTGTTCCTGATCTTAGAAGAAAAGCTTTCAGTTTTTCACCATTAAGTATGATATTAGCTGAGGGTTTGTCATATATGGCCTTTATTATGGTGAGGTATTTTCCTTCCATACCCATTTTATTAAGTGTTTTAATCATAAATGGATGTCGTATCATGTCAAATGCTGTTTTCTGCATCTATTGATATAATCATATAATTTTTTTCTTTTATTTTGTTTATAAGGTATATCTTTGTGTATCTATTGATCGAGTTGCATATGTTAAATCATCCTTGTGTTCCTGTAATGAACCCCATGAATCGTGATGTATAATTTTTTTAATGTATTGTTGTATTTGATTTGCTAGTATTTTGTTTGATTTGTTATATTTGATTTGCTAGTATTTTGTATAGAATTTTTGCATCTGTATTCATCAGAGATATTAGCCTCTAGTTTTCTTTGTATTCATCAGAGATATTGGCCTCTGGTTTTCTTTTTTTGTGTTATTGTTGCCCAGTTTTGGTATCAAGGTGATGTTGGCCTCATAAAATATGTTAGGAAGTATTGCTTCTACTTTAATTTTTTGAAAGTGTTTGAGGAGGACAGATATTAAGCCCTCTTTGGATGTTAGGTGGAGTTCACTAGTAAAGCCATTTGGTCCTGGATTTTTGCTTTTGGGGAATTTTGGATGATTGTTTCAATTTCCTTACTATTGATTGGCCTACTTATATTTTCCAGTTCATGATTCAGTCTAGGAAGGCTATATATTTCTAAGAACTTGGCCATTTCTTCTAGATTATTGAGTTTGGTGGCATATAGTCCTTCATAGTATTGTCATAGGATGTTTTTATTTCTGTGGTATCTGTGGTAACTTCTCTTTCATTTCTGACTTTGTTTATTTGTGTCTTTTCTCCTTTTCCTTTACTGAGTCCAGTTAAGGGTTTGTGGATTTTATTAATCTTTTCAAAGAACTAGCTCTTTGTTACATTATTTTTTTCTGTTGTCTTTTTGTTCTCTATTTCATTTAGTTATGCTCTAATTTTTATTATTTCCTTCCTTCTGCTAACTTTACATTTCATTTGTTCTTCGTTTTCTAGTTCTTTAAAATATAATGTTAGGTTGTTTATTTGGGATTTTTCTTGTTTCTTGAGATAGGCCTGTAATGATATAAATTTCCCTCTTAATACTGCTTTCACTGCATCCCCAAAATTTTTTGATACAATGTATTTTCATTCTCATTTGTTTCTATGCAGCTTCTGATCTCTCCTTTTATTTCTTTTTTGATCCAGTCATTCTTTAATAGCATATTTTTTAATCTCCATGAATTTTTGGTTTTTCACGCTTTCTTTTTGCAGTTGGTCTCCAATTTCAAAGCATTGTGATCAGAGAATATGCTTTGTATGATTTCAATCTTCTTAAATTTGCTGAGGCTATTTTTATGTCCCAACATATAATCTATCCTTGAGAATGTTCTATGTACACTAGAAAAGAATGTATAGTCTCATGTTCTAGGGTGAAGTGCTCTATAAATGTCAATTATGTCTATTGGTCTAAGGCTGCTATTTCCTTACTGATTTTCTGTTTGGATGAGCTATCCCTAGCTGCCAATGATGTATTTAGGTCCTTTATTATAATTGTGTTTTGTCAGTTTCTCCCTTTAGTTCTGTTAGTAGTTGCTTTGTATATTTTGGTGCTCTCTGATTGATAGCCTATATATTGATAAGTGTTATATCTTCTTGTTGCATTGTTCCCTTTATCATTATGAAATGTCCATCTTTATCTCTTGTTACCTTTTCTATCCTGAAGCCTGTTTTGTCAAATATAAGTATGGCTACACCCACTTTTTTCTGGATTCCATTTGCTCAGAGTATTGATTTCCACCCTTTCAGTTTGAGTGTATATTTGTCCCATTAGCTGAGATGTGTCTCTTGGAGGCAGCACATGGTTAGGTTTTGTTTTTTAATCCAATCTGCTACTGTGTGCCTTTTTATTGGTGAGTTCAGTCCATTTAGATTTAGGGTGATTACTGATATTTGAGGATTTCCTATAGCCACTTTATGTTTTGTTTTCTCATAGCTTGGTATCTCTAGTATTTCTTTGCCTTTGTATTTCTGTTATTTTAGTTTGGTGGCATTCTATGATTTTTTCCCCCTATGTTTCCTCTCTTTTTAATGTTATGTGTCTCAGTTCTGGATTTATTAATTTTTTTGTGGTTAGCATTAAGTTTATGTAAAAGAAATTTTCCTGTATACAGTAGTCTCTCTTTTCTTCAGCATGCTTCTTATCTCCATTCCCCTTTGCAAGTTCAGACGTTTACTCTCTCCCCTTTTATGTTTTTGTTGTCACAAATTATCCCTATTTATGCTCTGAGTTGATTTCTTTTCTGAGTTGTGGTAGCAAGTTTTCTTCTTCTTGCTTTATTTTTTTTTAAAGATTTTTATCTTCTTTACCCTTTATGTTATGTTGAAGTGTATAGTGCTTTTTTTCTGTGTAGAGGTTGTCATTTTCTGGTTCTGTCTGTCTGTTGGTAATCTTGCTCATAGTTTTGTATCCTTTTCGCTTTGTTTTAGGTCAGATAGCCTCCTTCAGTATTTCCTGTAATGCAGGCCTTGTGGTGGAAAATTCCCTCAGCTTCTGTATATCTGGAAAGGGCTTTATTCCTCCTTTGTGTCTAAAAGATAACTTTGCTGCATATAGTATTCTTGGCTGGTAATTTCTTTCTTTCAATAATTTGAATATTTGATTCCACTCCTTCCTGTCTTGTAGAGTTTCTATTGAAAAATCTGATGATCATCTAATGGGCTTTCCTTTGTGGGTTACTGCCTTCTTTTCCTGGCTGCCTTGATAATTTTTTGTCATTAGTTTTTGACAGCTTCAATATAATGTGCCTTGGAGAAGGCTTGTTGAGACTGAGGTAATTCTCAGGTGTTCTGTTTGCTTCTTGAATTCGAGGATCCAGTCTTTCCATAGTTTTGGAAAGTTCTTGTCAACTATTTGCTTGAATAGACTCTCTCCTCTTCCTCTCTTCTCCTTTCAGTAAACTTATTATTCTTATATATCCATCTTTCTCATGGAGTCAGATCGTTCTTGTAGAGTTCTTACATTTTTTTAACTCTCAAGTCTCTCTCTCTGTCTTTCCATTTGTGTCATTTTCAGATTTCTATCTTTGATATTACTAATTCTTTTCTCCATCTGGTCAGCTCTATTTTGTAAGCTGGCTATTTCATTCTTCATCTCTTTATTGAGTCCGTCAGCTCCAGAATTTCTATTCAGTTCTTTTAAAAAATTTCTATCTCTTTGGTAAAATACTCATTTTGTACATTTCTGAGTTCATTAAACTGCCTATCTGAGTTTTCTTGCCTCTCCTTGAGTTTTTAAGAACTGCAACCTTGAATTCTCTGTCATTTAAGTCACATATTTCCATGTCTTTAAGTTTATTTCCTGAAGATTTTTCATTTTCTTTGTCATCTGCCTTGTTACCTTGGTTATTCATGGCAATTAATGGATTTCTCTTCCCGGTCAACTACAAGGAGTGGATGCTTCAGCAGGTTGATATGAAGTGGCCTTTTATTTGGTTTCTCATAGGCATTGCTGAAATGTTTTATTTTTTCTTGCACTGCAGTGTTCTATTTTCCCTTGGGCTGTTCCACTATGTGGTATGGTGGTAGGTTTCCTGGGAGGTGGGCTTCTCCTCTGTGATCAGGTCTCCTTGGTCTCAGTGCACCGCCCCCATGGGAGGATGTTGTGGGTGATGTGTTACTGAGCCTCCAAAACCCCAATGCTGATGCAGAGTTTATGTGTTTCAGCAGCCCTGGGTGCCCGCCGCAGGGATCAGCCATGAAATGTGGGGGTGGGGTAGGCTGGGAGAGGTGGCAGGTGTGCTTGTGGCTCCAAGCAATGGCAAATTCCAGCCCACAGCTGTCTCACTCCTACAGCTCTTCCCCTCTCACCAGAATTAGCCGCACTGTGCGCCTGCCGCTCCAGGACTGTCTTTCAAGTTCTCAGGGCTGTAGATATTCTGCTCTTTAATGCAACACTGCTACAGTTTTGTCTGGGGCCTGCTGCTAACACTGAAAGTGTGTGGGGGAGGTGAGCTCTGGTAGGGGTAGGCAGCCAGGCTTCATGTCTTTGTTTTCTGTCTGGCAGGGAGGGCTTAAATTGCAGTTCCCGCCCTTCAGCATTTGGTCTTTGCCCCAATGTCTCTGCCCTGATCTTGGGTTCAGCTGTATTATATGCTGATCCCTTAGGCAGGAATGCTCAGGGCCACAGAGAGTGGGCCTGCAGTCTCAATCCTCCCTTCTCTTGAGAGCACAGTGAGCTCCGGGCTGCATCCTGCAGCCGGTGTCTCTGTACCTTCCCCTTCCCTCCTCCCCTGTTTGCCCCGATTTGCCCACCTTCAGACTTTTCAATGGTTGGATCTCTCAGATGTGTTTGTGTGTTGCATAGGGAATCCTTTGTTGAATTATAGCTGTTCAATTTGTTGTGACTTCCAGGGGAGATTTCAAGGGGCAGCCCTCATGCTGCCATGTTTCTGACACCAGTCTTCTTTTGTTGCTATTCTTGTCCTTTTTCTTATTTTTCTTGTTCTTGTTCTCCTTCTCTTCCTTCTTCTGTATCAAAAATGCATAGGTGTAGACCCTATGCAGAGAGACAGACAATTTAAATACAGTGCAATAAATGGAAATAGTAGAAGAACAAAGCACTATTGTAGCTCAGAGGAGGTCTCCTCACAATTGAGTATGAATCTGAAGTTCAAAGAATGAGTAGGACTAGAAAAGAGTGAACACAGTTTCTCTTTTGAAGGTAGCTAACGCCAACCCACAGTTGGCCTGGCTGACTCCAACTACTAGGCATGTAGACTCCTTCACCTAATCCTTCAGACCTCAGCACTGATCAAAATGTCCTTTATCTGCAATCTTCATGATGATGGTCATGGGTTTATTGAACACTTGACATGTTCCTAGTGTCACATTAATTTTAATTAATTTAAATGTCCATATATTCATAGTGATTACTGTATTGGACAGTACACTACCAAGTTCTCTAGATTCCTAAAACTCAGTAGCTGCTTCTAGGCCCAGTGGGCTCTCAGCCTCTGCCAAACCTAGCTTTCTACTCTTCTCTCTATACTTGGGCCCCAGTTCATGTCTTCTGCTCTGTGCTTCTTTGAGTTTCACTGCTGAAGCAGCATTGGTGCTGGCGCTGGTTCTCTGAGTGAGGAAATCATTAAGGAAATGGCTCCCAGGTGTCTCTATTAGGCTCTGGAGCAGCCCACTTTGACTTATAGTTGTCTCTTTCTAGAGGTCTAAGTGATTTGGGTGCTGGGAAATTCTGCCTCCTCATTGATTGATTTCTATTAGTCCTCTTCCATTTCCCCAAAGCATGTGCATGAGCTGGTTGTTAAGGCTGGCTCTGCTGCTATTGAGTGAAACATTGCTTCTTCCTCTGTTGTTCTAGGCTGACATCTGGGCCTCATCTCCTTAGGGGCTGGGCAGTCTCCAAGACCAGCGCCAACATTCAGGGAGCCTCTCCACTGCATGTCAGCTCCTTTCCAGAGTCCAAAGAAGACTACTGTCTCTTCTTGTTCCAAAAACCTTCAGACCCCTAATGAATTTCTTATCTACTTACAGTTCTCTAGAAAGAAGCTCCGTGTTTATTTTGCAACCTCTGCCCCCAACCCTTAACGTTGTGACCATGTAGTTCCCTCTACCTGGCATATCCAAATTAAATGTCCATCTCTTCTATGAAAACTTCTGTGATTATTCTAGCTCTGGCTCATCTTCCTTCATGAGCTTTTATAGCACTTTAGTCTCTACCACACATTTTAACAATGCTGATCTATCTTGTGATGTTTGCTATTAGCCTGTTAGTCTTATCTGTTAGCTTGATTGTGTTGCCTTGAGGAAAAGACCCTTTTCATATTTCTCACAGCTCTTGGCACATTGTCCAAAGATAGTTGATACTTACAAATAAACACTTATTTGCTGTTGTAATAGATCTGTTTCAGAGTTACTTGAATATAGGCTTCATTTGTTTAGAAATCATATTTCATATGCTTTTC